TCAGCTACTCGGGAGGCTGAGGCAAGAGTATCGTTTGAACTCCAGGAGGTGGAGGTTGCGGTGAGCCAAGATCGTGCCACTGTACTCCAGCCTGGAAAAAGAGCAAAAGTCCATCTCAAAAAAAAAAAAAAAAAAAAAAAAAAATACTGATAGTCATTTATATCTCAAATTTACTAATTTATTTTAAGCAAATGTGAAAAACATAAGGACTCTGCACAGGTTCATTAAAAACCCTGGTTCTCTCAATATAATTTTTCCAAGTTGTCAGTACAGTTTTTGGCAATAAGAATTGAAGAAGTGGCTGGGTGTGGTGGCTCACGCCTGTGGTCCCGGCACTTTGTGAGGCTGAGGCGGGTGAATCACGAGGTCAAGAATTCAAGACCAGCCTGGCCAAAATGGTGAAACCCTGTCTCTACTAAAATCACGAAAATTAGCCAGACATGGTGGCGGGTGCCTGTAATCCCAGCTACTTGGGAGATTGAAGTAGAGAACTGCTTGAACCTGGGAGGCAGAGGCCGCAATGAGCCAAGATCGTGCCACTGCACTCCAGCCTGAGCTGTCTCAGGAAAAAAAAAAAAAAAAAATTGAAGAAGTATTTGTTAAATGAGTAAAATGTCTTAAATCCCTCAACCACAAGTAGGATTTCTAGTTACGAGGAGAATACTGTATTTGAACACAGTGTATGTGCTCAAGTAGAGCACAATGATCTATGCCTTTCCTTTTCCTTTTAGTGATTAATTTTGACAATTTATACCAAACTGAAAAAACTTTCCAAAAAGCTCCCTAAAAAATAAAACAAAATCCCCTTACATTTACAAATAGTCTACCAGCGCGTATGCTGAAATAGTGTTCTTTTACTAAAATGCTTATTTATTCACACTAAAACTGACTCTTTGAGCTCCCGGACAGTGATGGTAAATCTCAGGTCTATGAATTTCTCAACTCTGCACTGTACAACCAGGTCCAAAGAGTAGGATGTGAGGTAGTTACGATGAAAAACAATTAAAATATTACTTTAACAATGATGAAAAAAGAACGATAAAACACAGGATTTTTATTTTTTCTCAGTAATGGATTTTCCCCCCCACCACTGAGACAAGGTCTCACCCTGTCATCCAGGCTAGAGTGTACCATGGTTCACTACAGCCTCAAACCCCCAGATCAAGCCATCCTCCCACCTCAGCCTCTCAAGCAGCTGGGACGTCAGGTGCATACCACCACACCTGCCTAATTTTTTTTTCTTTTGTAGAGATGAGGTCCCAAGATGTTGTTCAGGTTAATCTTAAACTCCAGGTCTCAAGTGATCATCCTGCTTCAGTCTCCCTAAGTGCTAGAATTACAGGCATGAGCCACCGTGCCTGGTCTTCTTTACTACATATTTAATTTTTATATTAATTTTTTTAAAAATAGAGATGGGGTCTTGCTAAGTCTCCAGGGTGGGTCTCAAACTCTGGACTTAAATGATCCTCCCGCCTCAATCCCACAAAGTGCTGGAATTATAGGCATGAGCCACCACACCCAGCTCAGATGAGGTCTTGCTCTGTCCACCCAGTCTGGAGTACAGTGGCATGATCACAGCTCACTGCAGCCTCAACCTCCTGGGATTAAGCATGGGCTTAAGTGATCTTCCCACCTCAGCCTCCAAAAGTGCTGGGATTATAGGCTTGAGCCACCACACCCAGCCTCAGTAATGGAATTTACTGATCATTGTTAATTCACTAACCAGGATATTTTAAAAACTGCTTATCATCTAAAATGTTAATGTTTCTGTATTTTTGACTCAATTTTTTTTATCTTTGGCTATCTTTAAACATAACTATCATACTAAATATCTATCACGACTAATGATGGGAAAATGAAAAGCCAGGTTGTAATTCAGAATGGCAAGAAGTAGCCTACTAGAGAATAGTAAAAGGATAATAACAATAGTAATAAAAATAATGGCAGCCAGCCAGAGCCGTGGCATACAGCTATGAAGACTGTGCACTGTACACACCAGGGGGGTGACACAGCATGGCAGCACTGTGGCTAACATTTACCGAGTACCCTATCACATGCCAGCTCATAAGCATGGAACTGAACTACAAGGCAGATATTACCTTTACCCCCATTTTATAGATGAGAAGAAAGAAGGCACAGAAAGTTAAACTTGCTCAAGATCTCAACGCTAATGAATGGCAGAACTGGACATTTGACTCTAGAGCTCAGTCTATTGATTGCCAGCCCATACTGCCTGATTTATGGTTACAAATGCCATTACTTGAAAAAAACCCCTTTGGTTTTACATCTTTCTTGCATATAATTTTGAAAAATACTGTTTAACTAAACATATGGTAGTTGTTCCTTCATTCAAAATGGTGATGTGGTTTATAGAATCTCTTTGTAATTTGTAATCATATATCACCCAGCAATGTTCTCTTCCTTACCAAAAAAAAAAAAAAAAAAAAAAAAAAACCACATACACAAGATTTCATATTTGCACATACTTTAATAACAAGGTCATTTTAGTAATAACAAAGAAACAGAGACAAAGAGAACTTAACACATAAATTAACACAACACAAACTTCTACAAGTTTGGGTCAAAAAAGGTTTACATGAAAGTTGAAAACATATACTGTCTGTGACAGGATACAATACCAATTTTGATTATGCATGTTATCTAAAACATTATTATCAAAGAGTGCAAAGTTAGATCAAACAACAATGTCAAGAAAATTCTGTCCTAAAATTTTAACAAAGTCTTTTAAGAAAGTCTAAAAACCTCCTTTTTTACCACTAACTGTCAAAACTTTGAGTTTTATATCAGAATATCAATTTGTCATTTTAACTTTTACCATACATGAAAAATTATCAAAAATATACTGATGGCTCTATACTAATT